CTGCTGAACTGTCACAGTATGTGACCTCTGACTCCAGTTTTGAAAATTTCAGTGCCAACATTTTTTTAACCATGTCCTCTAGGGAGCAACTTGTAATGAATATGATAACCAACCCTTTTCTCCCCTAAGCATAATAAAAAAAACAGACGGTGGTTTATGTTGTCTGTTGCTAACCATATAAATAAATGGTGTTGCCTCATTATTGAACTCTTGAGAAGTTGCTTTTGTCCAATAGTATGCCTTTAAACAAAATAAATGACAATAATTCTTTTCTTCTAGTGTTTTTCTTCTTTGTGTTTCATGTTTTATGATCCCACTGTCACCCTATTGCGACATCACACCAATATGCAGGCACAGACATGCTCCAGAGGTTCATTGAAAACTAGTCTGACCTTATTTGTAGTGGCACTCCAACATTTTTATGCTCAGCCAAGTTGAACATTAATACACTGCATACCAGTTTAAGATGACAAGCACAGAAGTGCTGGATGTGCCACCTGTTATGGTTAAAGTAAATGGGCTGTCTGCGCCGCAATCTATTTACATCTATCAGATTGTAATTGGAGTATGTATATTTTCAAATAGTTATTTATTCGGTGATTGCTAATAGTAGGATTTTCACTAGTTTCCAGACAGCTTAGCTGCTTTTTATCAGCTGGGGTCAAAATTTTTTGAAGGAAATTCCAACTTAGCTATGTTAGTAATTTCTTTACTCAGCTTTCTCTGTTGATACTAGTCTTCATAACAATTACCAACAAAGTTATAACCTACTTCATGTATTCTTTGTAAAGGCAGCTAAAAGTAACCCTTTGCCCATCTTGGCAAACAAGCAAAGAACTTACAAAAGTGTAGGATATGTTCCTATGTAACATAGCGAATAAGATGGGACAGGTCACGGTTTTTAAAGCATATTAAAATATATCTGACTGTATATTAAAATGGGCGGTGTCATCACTTTGTGTGTGCATATATCAATGAATAATCAGTTATTTGTTTTAGTACTATCCCAACCCTGCTCTCTATTATGCTACGCCATTCTTATAGACTTGGTGGTGTGTGTGTGTGGTGTTGTCACTAAACTCTGAAATCATACACAAGGCTAATTTGTTGTAATCCTCAGCCCAAACGAACAGCCAGGGAGGCTTAGTGTGATACGTGTGGCATGCTTGCAAAAAGAAGCAAAGGGACATTCTTTCTGTTGTGATTTTGTCAGCCGTCCCATGGTTATTTGATTATGGCTGGCTGTTTGTCACTTGCGGTGCCATTTCAGCAATGTGGGCCCTCACGTGGGGACTCGTTTACAAAGAGCTGCATCTGCTTGAACCGCACTCCCCCCCCTCAGTGCCTCCCCTTTCACTTTGCACTGTTTATTGTACAGAGAGAATTAACAGCATGGTTAGCGGGTTCATTTCACCTTTTCTCAGTCGCTTTGTTTTTTCATCCTCATGTGGACACTTAGTGCTGTGTTTTGACCTGAAGCTCAGTTGGGTAATTCATCAGGGGTGTAGCATAACTACAGTAAATAAGATGTATGAAAACTGAACCAATATTGTGATACCACTGAGTAATATAAAAAAAAAAAGTAAATTGATGAAAAATGGAAGATTATTTGATTATGGCTGGCTGTTTGTCACTTGCGGTGCCATTTCAGCAATGTGGGCCCTCACGTGGGGACTCGTAACGGTATAGCAACTTGTTCTTCGGTTATTTATTTATTTTCTGCATGGCACACACCTGTATAATTCTTCCTCCCTATTTCACTACTAATTACAGTTCCATTACTTGTTTATCAGGTTGTTGATACTCCAGTAATGTTGTCCACAACACACGTCTGATTACAAATTGACTTGGGTTCATCTGACGGGTACAGACACTTAACTCTGAAGGCCTTATTTTAAAGCCCATATGTATTAGGAAAGCCTGAACCTGCAAGTTAATTAAATGGTTTATTATATTGTTATATTTGTGCACACAAATATTTTATCCAGACTGTAGATCACTTTTTCAGTCATCCTAGTAACTGCTGCAAGTATTTCCATTGTTTCCTCAACTGATTAATCTCTACAGAAAGTCAAAAAATGGCACAAATACCAGATTCTCATGGCGAGTTTTACCCAATCACTAGTCCAAAACCCAAAGATATTCAGTATTTTCTCATGTGACAAAGAAGTGACAACACATCACATTTGGAAATTTAGAACCTCTAAATGTTTTTGTGTCTTTGCTTGAAAAGTGACAGTTTATTAGTTACCAGTTAATTTTCTCTGTCAGGTGCTCAGTTAATTGTTACTGCCCTAATTGTTACTTTACTTATTTATTCATTCATTCAACATAAATTACTTTATGACTTTGCTCCTGCATTTTTATGGCCTCATACTCCTGTATTTTTTGAGGCTGTAGTTTGTGATGTAACTGAGCAGATATATCATTGTGTAATTATTGATAGTTCACTGCTCCAGATTATTATTTGACATAATGGGGGGAGTTGGGGGAGGCGACAGTGCAGTGGGTAGAGCAGTTGTCTCCCAACCGGAAGGTTGAAGGTTCGAATCTCCAAGTGTCCTTGGGCAAGACACTGAACCCCCCGTTGCCCCTGATGGTTAGAGCCATAGATTGAGTTGGCGCCGCAGATGGCTGCCATCGGTTCTGTACCAGAAACGATTCCTTGTGTGTAACATACTTGGCCAATAAATGTGATTATCTTTATAAACACTGACTAGAAGGTAATTCCTCTGTCTGGATTAATGCAGTTTTTAAAATCGCATGTGTGCATAATATGCTGTATGTCTCTGTCATCCAAGAGGCTCATACTGCTTTCTTAGTTTCGTTCTGTTAAAGTACACAGGAAAGAATGACCCATACTTTGACTTGTTTTTCAGATGAAGGGATTTGCATTCTTTGTATTAACCTTTTGTTAGTGACTTTAAAACTTGCTTCAAAGCAGATTGGTCCTCTGATCTAATCTGAGCTGTTCGAGGTCATGGTTTATGCACAACACTGTGTGACTCAGCATTTTATCTTGTGCTTTACCTTTGCTCAAGCTTCCATTGCTGCCTTGGCTTGGTGAGAACCCCTGTACCTAGATATCCACTGACTGCACCTTTTGAATTAGTTCCAGTTATGCGGTGGAAGGTTCTGTCTTTTGATGTGCATTTTATTTGACTTTTCCCTTGGTTCAGTCTCTTGCAGTCTCTTGTGTTGGTGGTATGAGCTCATGTTTTGGGAATTTTTAATGGTGTGTCATACAATTCATGTTAAGTTATACAATCTGCTTTATTATTACAATATTTTATATATTTACAATTATGTATTCAGCAGTTATGAAGTCAGGAAAAATATTTTTGAGTGAAGTTGCTATTATAGTGTTACCTTTCTTCTCAGCTAATAGCTATATTTATTTTATTTTATTTTCTTTCTCCACAGTACATCTTTGGGGAATTCAGCCCTGATGAGATCAATCAGTTTTTTGTGACGCCACGTTGTTTTGTTGAGGTAAGTAAATGGGTTTTAAAGACACAGTATTAGTTGGTTTTTACATTGTCACATGGGTGGCTTTGATGGCTGACAGTTTACAAGAAAATTTGGCAGCCTGTATTGGTCAGCCTGATCTTCTATAACAGGAAGCAAAAGGCCTCATGGGAAATGGAAAAGAAACTTGCTAATCCTCTTACCTGACTTTAAAAACTGATGCTCCAGGTTGACCAAAATGTTACAAAGGTGCCCTTGTTAATTGGCACTGATGATTGGTTTTCTTAATGCTCCATGTAGCGTCTTTTAAAATAATATTTTGTGTATGATAATCATCATTTTTGGTTATTTCATTTCAAAAAGTCTTTAGATATTTAGCGTTCATAATTTAAACTGCGGGTTATTTATGTCCTTGCCAGTGTTTCATCTCGTATCAAACAACTTCCAGTATTTTACAACTTATTTTGATTTCTAAACTTTTTGAAATGGTAGTAAATCAGACACTGGTGTTATTTGAACAAATTTTTTTGTTTATTTTTTTAACACCTAACTTTGTATTTTGTCTCTTTAGCTTCCTCCATTCAATGACAAAGTTCCATGCGTCAGTCAGTCTTCTGGTATGTACATTTCATATACAATAGATTGCTAGATGATGTGTTTTTTTGTTTCTTTAAAATGTACTAGCATTAGAGTACCTTGCCCTCTCTCAGGAGTTGACTGTTAGCCTCTAGCTTTTTAAACAGGTCTTTAAAATGTAGGTTTGCAGCCTAGGCTGAGCTGACCTGAGCTGACCTGACGTGCCTGTCAGGGAGATGGTTTTAATGTGATTATTTTTGCATATATTTATGCATATAATACAGCTAATATTGTTTAGAATGGATTACAAATCCCAGTAGATCCTTGCCATTTCATTATTTTAAGAATTCATCAGCCATTTTCATTCTTTGATTTTTGAGCCAGCCAATTAAAAATTTTATAGCAGCCACCTTTCTTTGAAATGGTACTTTATCTGCACATGACATTTGCCTTACCTTGATTTGTATTGATTATTCAGGAAGTTACTGCACTCCTGCGGTACCTTATATTATGGAGTCTGTTGGACTGCAGGTTTGCGGTGAGTTGAGGTGTCTCGCACCCTGTGGCTTGACTAGCTGTTGTACTTTTACTGAAAAACTCAGAATCCAGGTTTCAAAAACTGGTGGCTTTCTAAACCTTGCGCTTGTGTTCTTTCTCTTGCCTCTCGGCAAAATCTGTAGAGCTTTGCATGCTCCAAGATGCTGTTAATTATTTTATCTTCTCGCATATAATGCATTTTCACCAGTGCAGGGCTTCAAGTTGAATTAAAACTGGACTGAATTTTTGTACAATTTAAAATCACAGCTTATTTGCTAAGGGCATAGTGATGGTTTTATGTCATTGCTAACATGTGTGTACATATTTAGCCTTTCATTATTAAGGTTTTACTGCTGGGTGCATTTTACAGTCATGATATATGATTTCAGTAACACTAACAGAACATTCTAATCCCATCTGAGGATGTAACTACTGTTTTCATACCATCTTAACCCCTGCCGAATATCAGGGTTTATACTTTGGATGGCCAGTCAGCTGTCATAAGACTTGGGGGAATTCTTTTGATTTGCAGTTACTAATGTTTGCTGTGTGTTTTTCACTTTTCTCTTTGCATCTCCCACTGGCATATTAATTTACTATTTAAACTTCAATGCAAAACATGTGAACTAAACAGTGAAGTCAATCGTTTTTAAGTATGACTATAATTCTTTGTCTTTACATCTTTATTTCAGAGCGTTTTGATGACAAAACACAGTTAAACTACACCAGATTAGGTTAATTTGGGATAAACCGCCAGATGAGGCGGCACCAGCATTTATAAATCTTATGTATGTCAGTTGCTATCAGAAAGCTTAATGTATGGAATAAATGGTTCATTTACACTTATGGTTCTTTTATGGCTGACCTTTGAGTATACATCATAAAATATGTATTGTCTCCCCAAGGTTTAAAAATGTACTGTTGGAAATATTTTAATTCCCCTAAAACTGGACCTGGTCATCTATAAAAGAATATTGTTTAAAATTTAAACTATTATTGGAAGGTATACATTCAGCCTGTTATCTTCAAGTATGCCATATTTTGTCTTGTTCTTTTTTGTTGTACACTGTATTAGTTGGTTAAATGTAGGTAAGTCCACCTTTAGGTGATTGGAGCTCAATCTTCCAATGAAGGGTTACAATAAATCTGACCATGTGCCTTGGTAGTCTGTTGTCAAGGGATCTATTGTACATAATATCAGATTTTATGAATAATCTGGTTTTGCTTCAGAAATGAAATTGTTTCAACAGTCTGCTCATAAAATCAGGATTTTTTTTTTTTACAAATTATCAAGGACAGTATTCACTTTTGTCACAGCTTCTCAAGTCTTCCCATTTGACCTGCTACTTGTTAGGAAATAAAAATCATTATTACATAAGCATATTCTAGAATATATAGCTCCAAGACAGTATTGTCTCTTTCTGCCTAATTGAAAATACTGAAAATTGGTCAACTCACTTCACACAAGCCCAGGCAGAGAGTGGCTTAGTTGAGCATAGATGCAACAGTGGTTGTTGAAGCTAAAAATAGGTCCTGCAGGATTTATTGCTTTTGGTTAGTACAGTCATGGCCAAAAATATTGTCACCCCTGCGTTTCTGCCAGATAACGCACCACTTCGCCCAGAAAATTGTTAATCACATTCTTTTTTTATTCACATGTTTATTTCTTTTGTTTGCATTGGAGCAACACAAAAAGCCAAATCTGATACTTTTCACACAAAAATCCAGAAATGGACTAGACAGAATTGTTGACACCCTAAGCTTAATATTTGGTAGCACACCCTTTGGACAAAATAATAAATCACTTCCTGTAGCCATCAGTGAGTTTCTTCCACCTCTCTACTGGAGTTTTGGACCACTCTTCGTTTGCCAGCTGCTCCAGGTCTCAGATTTGAAGGGATCCTTCTCCCAACTGCTGTTTTAAGATCTCTCCATGTGTACTCTATGGAATTTAGATCTGGACTCATTGCTGGCCACTTCAGAACTCTCCAGCTCATTGTCTGAAACCATTTCTAGCTGCTTTTTGAAGTTTCCTTTGTGTCAGCGTCCTGCTGTAAGACCCATGACCTCTGACAGAGACTCAACTTTCTGACACCGGGCCCTACATTGTGCCTCAGAATTTGTTGGTAGTCTTCAGATTTCATAATTCCATACACACTGTCGAGACATGCAGAGCCTGAAGCAGCAAAGCAACCCCAAATCATCAGTGAACCTCCACCGCGTTTGACTGTAGGGACCATGTTCTCTTCTTTGAAGGCCTCATTTTATTCTCTGAAAACAGTAGAAGGATGTGCTCTGTCACAAAGCTCTATTTTAGTCTCATCTGTCCACAGGACATTCTCCCGGAAGGATTGTGGCTTCCTCAGGTAAGTTTTGGCAAACTCCAATCTGGTTTTTTTATGTTTCACATGCTGGAAATACAACTATTTCTCATGATTTTGAAAAGGTGTCAGTAATTCTGTCCAGTCCATTTTTGGAGTTCTGTGTGGAATGTATCAGAATTGGCTCTTGTGTTGTTTCAATGCAAACAAAAGAAGTAAACATGGGAATACCAAAGAAGATGTGACTGCACATTACAGTTTTCTGGGAGAAGTGTTGCTTTTTCTGACAGACATGCAGGGGTGACAGTATTTTTGGCCATGACTTTACAGTCAGTGTCCCTTTTATATTTATCCTTTAGACTGTATTTAAAGACAAAACTTTGGTTTTCTAATTGATTGAAATGTTATCTGCAGCAGAAGACTATCAGCGCATTGAGTTTGGTGTTGACGAGGTGATGGATTCCAAGACTGTTGGGGTGAATGATCCTTTATTCAAGGTGTCAAGCACCCTCAACCCCCAGGCTCCAGAGTTCATCCTGGGCTGCCAGACAGCCCAGAAGGCCCAGCAGACAGCTCCTCCAGCAGCTGATGTCCCTGATGGAACCCACTTCAACTCGCTGGATGGCCCTGACTCTGAGGCCTCAGCCTTGGACAATCACCAGACCTGCCAGGACATGGACGGACTCCCTGGCAGCCTGGGACAGCGAGAGAGGAAGAAAAAGAAAAAGCGGCCACCAGGGTACTACAACTACCTGGACCCGTCAACTGGCGGCAGCAACAACAGCAGTGCAGCAGATGGAATGCCTGTGACAGCACTGGTGAACGGACATGCACTCGGTGGCCCACACCACAGTGTTGAGGATGTGGATGGTAAGGCATTGTCAGGGGCTGAACTTTGCACCCCTGGACCTGTCTCCACAGCAGCATCAGCAGCTGCTGTGGTAGCAGCCAATTTCCCCCCCTCCTCCACTGCCAATCAGAGGACTTGTGATAGCCCTGATGACTCTTCTTTGGACTTAACAAGTGGAGCTGCCTCTTTATCAGATGGCAACAATGCAACTTCCCCCTCTTCATCCTCCTCTCAAAGCAGAGGGATGACAGAGGGGCCGAGGACTGCAGAGCAGCAGCCAGATCATTTGGCTCCACAGAGCCCTGAACTTTCAGATACTCCGCACAGCCCCCTGTCCAAATCACCAGTTTCTTCCTCACCTGCTGTGGCCACCCCCTCTGTTGCCACTTCCAATACAACTACTGAACTCAAGGGAGGGGACGTAGAAGACAGTGGGGTGGCCAATGGGCTCGCAGAGCCTGATACTCCCATCAATACAGATGAACACAAAGAAGACTGGGAGAGTGGGGATCAGGCTCAGCAGGTCTCCTCTGACAGTGCTGCTCAGCCAGTAGTGACAGAGCAGGCCCATTCACCTGCAATTCCAGCTGCACCTACTGCCAGCCTCCCCAAATCTTGGGCTAGTCTCTTCCACAACTCGAAGCCTCTGCCTGGGAGCCCTCAGGCCTTTGTGGAGGTAAAGAATGTTGTGGAAGTTGTCTCTCCTTCCCTTGCCACACCAGAGCAGCCTGACAAAGTTGGGGAGGTCAAAGACAGCCCTGTCCATGTATCAGAGGATCCTATGGCCCCTAAACTTGCAGGTATTATATGAGGATTCACTGTGTACAAAAAAAAAAAAAAAAACTGCAATGTTTTGTTGTTTCAAGCTTGTTACTGCTAAATTCATTCATTCTCCACTTGGTGGCAATGTTGACACAGCTGTTTGGTTTGTACTCCTTGTATTACTACAGCAGTGTAAACTTTTAAATATTTGATGCTTCAGAAGAGTAGAAGTCATAATTGACCAAACTTTATATTTTGCTGCTGATTAATATACATCCTAGATATATTAAATTTGAGCTAATCAGTAAGCCTTTAACAGAGGGAACAATTGTAGGTGTTGCTTTCATATTCAAGAAATGAACACCAGATGGTGGTAATGCATCCTGTATAGCTGTCAGATATTAAGTCATTAATAACATTTTTGTGACCCACTCTGGCCTTTTGCCCAGTACCACTGAAGGTAGTCAGGGAATTGCTCGCAAGGCTCACACCTTGTGAGCAAAGGATTGCGGTCTTCACAAAGCTATAGCATAGATGGATGGCTTCATTTTCTCCTGTTGTAGGGATTCTCTTGTATAGCCACTTTACTTTGAACCGTACACTTACATGTTCCCTTTAAGCTGACAATGGACCATTATTTTAGAGTGCTATTTAGATGCCATGGATTATAAGTAATAGCCAAACTTTCCCTTCATAGTTGCATTTTAAATTTCAGCGATTCAGACCTTTAACTCCAAGGAAGAAGGACAGAATACTCTGTGGATACCCATGTTTTCTGTTTGTTATGAACATGATAGCCTTACCCAGATGAAACACACTGGTACATTACAGCTTCACTTAAATGAGTGTCTAATTTCAGCCAAAAGAGTAGAAAAGGATTTCTTGAAACATCTTGATCAGTGCAGGCTAAGTTTGATCTCAAACAGTAATGGTTTGGTGTTATGTGGAGAAGTATCAGTTGAAGTGAACTCACAAGTACAGTTTATTCTGATTTGAGATGATTGAGGTTCATTTACGAACTTGTATCTTGTGGCAATTTATTCAGAGCTGTGCTCCCCCCATTCAAGTTGTCTCTTGCACTGGGGCTTTGTCTCTTAAAAGCAATGTGCAGTTCAAGATTTTTCTGTTTAGATAAATCTCATTATGCAGCTTGTTTGGGATGTTGGACAGCTGGCCTCTCACAAGGGAACTTAAGAGACCTCATTTGTGTCTGTGCAAACACACTCGGCACGCTGAGGTACCTAGCACTTATTGGCTATAAATAGAGGTGCGTTGTTTTTATTTTACTGTAACAGTGCATATTGAAGGGTAAATTTTACTTATGAAATACAGCCACAGTGCTCACACACTTAAGCTGTATTTTTGTCATATTGAACCTCTGGACTTTTCTGTGGGAGAATGCTACAACATAGCCAGACCACAGACTGAAATCCAAACTCCAGTGTGAAATGTCATAGAGCTGCATGAAGGAGCTCTATGGATATATGTAATAACACATTTTTCACGAAAAGTCAAGTACTGGCATGGCATGGGTCAGTGTATAACTGAGGTGGCTCCAGTCACAGTGTAAAGTGAACCTAGTAATCTGACTGGGTTGATCAGATAATCCATTATGTCTTTGTAAAGCACTGAGTTGTATACATTTATATGCATGCTGTGTAAGTACAGAGGTAAAGAAGCACAAGCTTGAGCATACTAATATCTACTATCAATTGTGTAAAGCGATGTCCACGTTACCATGGGAGCTGTGTTTCTGAATGACAGCCTCCCTTCCTAGGCGTGGTACAGCAAGTTCTTGCTTTTACTCAAACAGTCTCTTGTGATGTCGTCACTAGAGCCAGGAATAAAAGAAGAAACAATTTTTAATTTCTCTTCAGCCTAGGTGGTTTGAGACTAAAACAACAAACTGACAGCTCCTAACTGCTGTTTGCTCCTCACATCTCATCCTAGTGATGACAAACTACGCGTGCCTGGTTGCAACAAACTGGACATAATGTAACGTCCAGTCTGAACCTGGCATTAGCTGACTGAGTAAATTTGTCAATCCAGTAGAATGCTCTGAATACTCCTAATGTGACACAAAGCACTGACGTTACACAAACCTCAGATGACTTCTAAATTAAAATCATATTGATGCAATATGTAAAGTCATGATCATGCTAGGTCACTGTTATCAAATTGAGCACATTAACTCTAGACCCCCCTGTCTCAAAGTCAAAGTGATGTTAACTCTGGTTTTTGCTTTTTCTGTGTCCCACTCTCTGTGCAAATGGACGCAACCCCTTTTGGTCTGGTAGCTACTGTTTCACACTTGTAGCTTCCAAGAGCTCCTCCATGGCTGGCTGTTGGAATTGACTACTCGTGGGTTGGAAAACGCTTCTTATAAACTTTGCTAGGTGGTAGGGATGGTAATGTGTGGACCATATTTTGACAACACAGGGTAGAGAAGCTGTAATGACAACAGAATGGCTGTAGGCTGCAGTGTGTCATGGAGAGGGTAGTGTAGCTGAGAAATGCCACGTTTTGTCCCATTTTTACTTGGTTTATCAGACAGTGGGTTAAAGCTTAGTTGATGCACTTTTAAAATGAAATTGTACCTTTTGTATCAGGAGTGGTCTATTATATTCACCGTATCAGTGTTAATGACAGAAATTGCATATAAATATTACTGATGTTGTTGCAGTTCTGTATGGCTACATGTTTAAAAATATTGTTTGTTTGAATCCCCAGAACTTATTGAGAATGTGAAGTTGATACATAAACCAGTGTCTTTGCAGCCGAGAGGACTGATCAACAAGGGAAACTGGTGTTATATCAACGCTGTATCCTTTCACTCAGCTTTTTGATGCACTAGTATCTTTTAACCCGTCAGACCTATTTGTAGTTGACAGTTGGTATTATGACTAGCTTTTATGTTGGTGCTAAGCCATTAGCACAAGGGATAAATGTTAATTAAATCCCATGCATGTGTTGTAATGAAAGTGTGCCATTATGAAATGCAGTTGCTTTTGTGTGGCCAACACTTGATCAGGCACAAGTTTAAGCTCTGCCTGTAAAATTCCTTAAAAGCCAAAAGATTAGATTAGATTAGATTCAACTTTATTGTCATTATCCATGTACGAGTACAAGGCAACGAAATGCGGTTTAGCATCTAACCAGAAGTGCAGTAACAGCAGTGCAGAGTGCACAGGATCTACAGTATGAACAGTCAGAACTAATTTACCGATGGATATGTGCAATTGATATTTACAGTAAGATATGTAGGGTAATGTACGATATACAACAGACTTAGAATTCAAATTACAAGTAATGGACAGGTACATTAAGCTTATGGAACACTAGTGCAATGGGATGAGATGGAATGAAACAGTGCAGAATAAGAAGATAAGTTACATGTGTGAACAGTTCAATGGATCTAAATAGTGCAAAGATAAATATGGAGTATCTACATATGAACAGTGTGCAAATGAATACACAGAAGTATCCAGTGAGTAGAGGCTTAAAAAAAAAAAAGAGATCACAATATGCCATTAGTGATTAATCTTGTTAGCGTTTTATAAAAACTGCAGCAATTCATTAGATCACCAGAAACTAAATGAGGAATTATTGTTTTAATTGAATAATTGTTGTACTTTAAGACAAAAATACAAAACACTTTCAGGTTCCACTAGATTTATTTTATAACAGTAAATTGCATATACATTTTGGATTTTGGACTCTTGGTCACAGATGACATCAGAAAATTATTGACAAAATAATCTTCCTATTTAAAGAAACAAAAATAGCCTAAAATCCAAAAGCATCCAAAATGACATCAGGGTTTCATCAGATTGAAACGTATACATACTGTATGTTTGTATCAAATTAGTTAAAGCAGTTTATTTTGCTTTCCCTGCATGCCGTTTTGCTCCCTGACTCTGAACACTCAGACCCTGCAGGCCCTAATTGCTTGCCCTCCCATGTATCACCTGATGAAGTCCATTCCCCTGCACAGTGAAATGCAGAGACCGTGTTCCTCCACACCCATGATGGACAACTTGTAAGTGAATGCTGATACAAGCTGATATCAAACTGCTACAATGTGTTTTACAAAGACCTCATCCTTTGTTTGTCTGTCTCTGACAGCGTAAGGCTGGTGAATGAGTTCAACAATATGCCTGTGCCATCAAAAGCCAAACAGCAAGGTAACAGTAGTGTCCAGAGACATTTGATACCATTTACTGTCAGCAGCACTGATGTATGATTAACTATGTCCACAGCTGTTGGTGATAAGGTCATGAAAGACATTCGGCCTGGTGCACCTTTTGAGCCAACTTACATTTATAAACTCCTCACTCTCATCAAGTCGAGTCTCTCTGAGAAGGTAAGCTGCTGTTGTGCTGCCTCTGGATCTCAGACACAATATGTTCACTGGATAGAAATGTCAGGATTTTTTTTTTTTTAATGATCAGGCTCTTTATTTGAATACACTTCCTCTGGAACAGACAGTGCTTGCAGGGGGTGTTCTTGTTGTTTTTAAGACATTTTTCACTTGAATTAATGCAGTTTGTGTGTTTCACATGCTGTGTCAGTTCTGATTCAGGTTTAATGAATCAATTAAATCTGAATGAGATGGTTATCTTTTAATACCTAATGAGACTTGCACTCATCCTGCCTCACTTGTAAAACATGCACCCCTGTCTGTGTTTACCTCAGCAAATGACTTTGTATGCACATTAAAATGTGCACACATTTTTGTTTTTGGATAATGTTTTAATTGGTGCCGATGTCCTTGTGCTGTGCTGTCAGGGCCGACAAGAAGATGCGGAGGAGTATCTTGGCTTCACTCTCAATGGATTGCATGAGGAGATGCTGGCATTGAAAAAACTAATCTCGCCTCAGGAAGAGAGTAAGCATCTTTTACCACTTATCAAAACCATATTACAATGCACATAAGGTCGTTATAGATATTTTTCATATCATTGTTCTTAAAGATAATTACTTTCTACATAATCAGACTGCACCACAGTAGATGAGGCTTCTGTTTTGAGTTGGATGTTTTTGTGCTATTTGTTGCTGATTTACTGTAAAATAAAAATACTGGTGGCCGGCTTGATAATGTGAACACCAGTATTGAAGTCATAATGAGAGATTAATGCCGTTTGCAACTGAGAGACTGAACACCCATCAGCACTAGAGTGGAGAATATCTGCAACTACAGTGTGCAGTTTATGGATACAGTATACTGCTTTATAGTGTTTCTCATTTTTCCTGTGAAGACTAGTCCTTAGTTTCAAGGGAACTTGTCACTATTTACTGTATGTACCTCAGTCACTTTTCATATACCATTGAGTTTCCTTCAAATTTTAAGCCGACATGGGATTTAGCACAGGAGTTCATTTACTTGGTTCAAGGCACTTTGAGGTGCATTAGTCATTTGACCTCTGAAGTATTTTATTTTATTTTTAACAGAAGCTCCCACACCCAACGGGCCTGAATCCCAGCCAGGTGAAGAGGACATTGTTGCTGATAAGGAGGAAGAAGAAGAAGGTAGTGAGGATGAGTGGGAGCAAGTGGGCCCCCGAAACAAGACTTCTATCACTCGCCAGTCTGACTTTGTTCGCACACCGATCACTGATATCTTTGGCGGGCACATCAGGTATGTTGACATTTTAGTGTGAAGCGAAAATGATGAACCCTGTGTAAAGTAACAAACACTGATGGTTGAATTGAGTTTGTCCATGGTTACTTAGAAACTTTATGCCATAGTTTTTTCCACCTGTTGGTTATGGTGTGTGTGTTTAGCTAAGATACCAACCTTTTGTAATAATCAGTATTGTCTTCATCTGTGCACCCTGAGTTGATTATGCAGAACCCGACTTGTTTTGACTCGTGTTCGCGGTGTCATCTCACAAAATAGTTCTGCCACCAGCCGTATCCAGCAAGCGCCACAGTCCTTCAGAATAACAGTCACTGTGGGTTGAATGTGGCGAGAAGTCTCGACAGCAAAGCGTGGGGCACCCATCCACAAACAGCGGTCTTAACTTTGAGACAAACTGGAAAGTTAAGAACCTGTGCGGGTGTAGCGTGCCTAAATAACACGTTCTATGAGATTCTGGTCTGGCACAGTCCTGGTCTACACTGGTTGCACAGTGTTTTAAATGATTATTTTCTTAGAAACGGTTGCAAGCAGAAAGAAATGGAATACAGGAGTGTATGTTTACAGAGTGTGGTATGTACGCCCACTGAGCTTGGCTATAACCCTTGACTTCTCTAGACACTAGTCAGAGTAAAGTTTGAACTCGAGCAATTTATAATTTATTTTGCCCCAGTTTAAAGCCTCTCAGCAGAACCATTCGACCATCAGGAGCAGCCAGAGTTGTTGCCCAGTTCCAGTGTCAGCTGTTTAATATTGAGGAGCTACAGATGGATTGATCTTAATACAGTCTGTATAATTTAGGGGGAATGCCAGCAAGTAGTCAGTGATTTTAAAATCAGATAATCTCAGCAAAGTAGGTTATGATAAAAAAAAAAAAACACTGGCACCGATTATTGAAATATTTTAAACAATAACCTGCTTCAATTACAGAGACCACTAAATGTCTTTGTGATATTTCTTCAGTCTGCCTAACTTGCTGATTTGTTTCTTTTTCAGATCGGTGGTGTATCAACAAAACTCTAAGGAGTCAGCCACTCTGCAGCCGTTCTTTACCCTGCAGCTGGACATCCAGTCCGAGAAGATCCGCACTGTTCAGGAGGCTCTGGAAACCCTGGTGGCACGAGAGTCTGTCCAGGGCTACACTTCAAAAACCAAGCAGGAGGTATGAAGAAAATGCACTTTCAGGCTATGTGTGAGATGAGGTCAGTGTCACATGATATCACATAACAAAATGAATGAAAACTGCATATTAGTTATTTTTGTCATCTTAACTTTATGCCCCTGTATTTACTGATCAAGTGGGCTGAAGCATATTTGTGGATTGATTTACTTTACATTGTTGCTCTTGGCATGTGCACTGATTTAACATACAGATGAAGAGTAATCTTGGCTCAACGTGACAGCAGACATAAATATACATAGATTTTTCTTAACAAATGTAGTTGGCTTTGATTTGAGTACATTAGACCAACCTTTGAAGAAAATGCTCATCTGGAAAAAGTACAGACGGTGAATGTTAAGCCGGAACAACTGGTGCAGGCAACATCTGTGCCACAGGTGTATAATGGGCATCTTAACTGTCTTTTTTGTTGTTATATACATTCTCTACTGTACCCTCAGTTGCTCCCGGTGATGTCACCGGTGTGTGAATGTGGGAGTGCTTGGGAGTGCGAATGGGTGAATGGCCCAATAATGTGAAAGCGCTTTGAGTGTGCTGTAAAAGCATAGAAAGGTGCTATATAAGTATAAGACCATTTACCATTCTAGTCTTTGTCACTTTAGAGACAGTTGGTCCAGAGCCCCATTCTCACGTTACATAGTTTTAAATAAAAGTCACAAAATGTAGTGGGTCACTGCTTTGAAGATCAGCAGAAGCTTGTATTTCTAACAAAATGTCCCTGCTTTGTTTAGAAGAACTTTATTGTGTTTTCTTTCTAGTCTACAGTTACAAACAAACCTTTGAGTTTTTGTAAATGTAACTTTGTTTCTCAGACAATGTTTTATTACTGTCACAGTATGTTCTGACTGCCTCCCATTTCATGCTTGTTTTCAGATTGAGATCAGTCGGAGAGTAACTCTAGAAGAGCTGCCACCTGTGTTAGTGCTCCATCTTAAGAGATTTGTTTTTGAAAAGACTGGAGGTTGCCAGAAACTGACCAAGAACATCGAATACCCAGTTGATCTGGAAATCAGCAAAGGTATGGTCCCTCACATTATCTGTAGATCCAAGTTATTTGCACCAGTCAAAGACATCTCACCATGTGATTGCTCAGCTGCAGAATCACTACACTGCATCTTCATTATCATAGTGTGGAACGTCAAAGCCCATGATGTGATTACGTCTCAGCAGGCAGTCATGTTAATGACAGCTGTTCTTTTATATACTGTACATTAAAGTTGACCTCACCTAATCATGACAGCTGGATAACATTTAACAAGTACATAAGATTCAGTTGCCCAAAAAAACTTTAGCCTTGATGAGGAAAAACTGTTTCGTGAGTTGGCCAGTGTGATTGCTAGCCTCAATGTAATTTACTTGGCAAACGATGGTTCCTTAGAGAGACACTTGCCTTTATGATATTCAATAACACAATACACGCAGCTCAGTTTGGGAGTGTCTCATGACAACACTGATTGATTCAGATTACAAAATTAGGAGTAGCTAAAGGTAAATAATCATAGGCACCAGAATGAGTCAAGGAGAACAGTGCTGCTGTGAAGTTTGTCAAAAAAATTTTCTTTCACCGTTTTGTGCAAAAGCTGATTTTTCAATTAGTTTTTATTTGATTAGTTTAATCAATTTAGTATAAAATTTAATAGCCTTCCCTGGTAGGCTAGTGGTTAAGGCGCAGCGCTTTCACTGCTGCGTCCCGGGTTTGTCAGGAGGGGTATCCGGCATAAAACACATGCCAAATGTCAACATGCGAATTGTCACTGACGATTCGCTGTGGCGACCCCTAAATGGGAAAAGCCGAAAGTGACATTCATTCATATTTAATAATATGTAATATATGTTGTGCTCAGTCAATTGACAAAAGCTTATAAAACATTGTGCAAACTCAGAACAGTATCTCCAACTAACTGCCAGGCTCCTCTTCAGTTAAGTCTATTAATTTTCAGCAGTGTAAAATAGGCCAGCAGCAGAACTTGGTGCATTACAATCTGTGTTTTAACAAAATTTTAGCAGTGGTTCTTAACTTCTTACCAGTGGATTTCCCTAACCATGCCTTCCCTTCAGATCTCTTGTCCTCTGGAGTACGAAGCAAAGTTGTGAAAGGCCAAAGAACTTACAGGCTCTTTGCAGGTGTGTTTGTGTTATGTTGTTTATGTACTTAAGTCACATTGTTTGGTCTCCTGCAAGGGGTTAAGTTGTCTTGTTTTTGTAACATCACCGGAATTGTTTAATTCACTGTGATAAGGCTCCTTTATCCACCAAAATAACTGCTCTCCAAGCATCTTTCTCTCTTTCTCTTGTGGAGGTACTTACTCTGAGATAATAATCAATAAACTTATCAGTCAGCCTTTATTTAGTATTTTCAAATAGTATCAAGAATTACTGTAGGTGATGTGTTGCATTGCACAGCATTTTGGGTCAATCTTTGGACTAAACTGTCTCAATAAAACAGCTTTGAAGTTGTGGATGAATAATTTCTGAATGACTAAAATATCCCACGTTTCCCTAATACATTTTCCCCATCTTTCAACTTAACCAGTTGTCTATCACCATGGGAACAGCGCAACAGGCGGTCATTACACCACGGATGTCTTCCACATCGGTCTTAACGGCTGGCTGCGCATCGACGACCAGGCAGTGAAGGTCATCCACCAGTACCAGGTGGTGAAGCAGACTGCGGAGCGCACCGCCTACCTGCTGTACTACCGCCGTGTTGACCTGCTGTAGACGCACACACGTCCCAACATACACACCAGACCACCTGTATACATTCACATCTGCGCACAACACATACATGCTCAGAATGCGCTTGCTGACATTACAGTACATCTACAGGATGCAAACATACACCAAACTAATGAACAGGAACACTGCCCAACTTGTTCTCTTGCAAGATTTTCCTCTACTTCCCTCCTGTCGCTTTACTGAGAACCAGCTTTTCCAAAACCCCTTTCCTTCTCTCTCTTTTCTTTTGAAAGAAGACAACAACCAAGCTGCACTCACAGTTTCCCTGTGACTGCTCTCTTCTCTTTGTGCACCTCTGCTGTGTTTTTGTTTTTTTTGTTTTTTTGTTTGTTTTTTTTTTCTTACTTTTAAAGCAGCAAGGAAGGACTGTTGAATAGGCAGATGCTGGGTTGGGGACTTGCCTCTGAGCCCACAGCTCGGCTCAGATAGCAACTTGCTCGAATGGGAAGAACTGTCAACCACAGGCTGCAAGTGGACTGCTGGGGTAACTTCTCTTTTTTGAATGACCTTTTTTTTAAGGAAATGACCTAGAAATATCAGTGTTTTTTCTTTTAGCAAAGGAGAAGTGTTGGCCTAATGAATTTACCACAATTTAAAAGCCTATTTGAATTTGCCCTAGTGCACTGAACAGGCCCAGCACCAGCATCATCATGAGTCTCTCCTCCCTTGGCCAGATTGTGTTCTTCGCTGCCACCAACAACTTCTCCTCCTCCTCAGTTTCCTCACTTTTATGATGCTTTTAAATCTAGCTACAACTTGAGCCAACAAAGACAAGTGTTAAAAAGATGGTACATTGAATGGTAACTGAAAAGCTTCTTTGTATGAGAGATCCTTGTGTTATCTGGCTTTAGATTTAGAAAGACTATCAAAAAAAAAAAGCGCTTTAGAGTTTAATAATAAGCTTCCGTGCACAGAATATAAACTGATTGATGATTACAATATGACAGGCAAATGCATATTTTGCAAATATTTAGATCAAAATGTAAAAAAAAAAAAAGAGGAAAAAAAATCTAGGTGACTGAACACATGTTGGGATCCTGAAAGACCGTGCTAGTTTTAGACTCAAGTCTAAAAACGTCTACACTTGTAGACATTCAGTTCTTTCACTGGACAGACAACCAATCAAGACAGATTTACTATCTCGTTCTTTCTTTATCCATTCATTTTTTTTCGTCTTGTCAGGTTCCACCTGTGTATAGGTGACTTCTCGGTGTAGAATGGAGCCACACCACCCTTCCTACCCCCAACTCGGCAGAAAGCAGCGGCTGCCTTAGGTTCAGTGTGTGGTGTTTGTCCACTCAGTGCACGTGTCTAACCTTAATCAGACAGCAACGGCTAGCCTAATGTCTGTGAACAGTTAGGGGAATGTACCTGACACGTCTGTGTTCACTCTGTTGTGGCTCAGTGTTTCCTCCTCATCAAGGGAAACTGTTGAGAGGAAAGGCAACTTCATCTGTGCTAAGCTCTGCACAAAATCCTTGGACATGCGCACAAAGAGTTTGCTTTTGTTAGATGTTTTTTGGATCATTCATTGTGTTTTTTGTTTTAAATTTGTTTTAGTTCCTGAGATATGTTAGGTTTTTTGGGCGGGGGGATTTATTAGATGTCCCTATGCCATCGATTCCTTCAGAAAAATATGCTTGCATTTGAATTGGTGTTACAAATTACACAGGCTAAAGCACAACAAATAAAATAGAACTAGTTATTGGACTGATTTGAGTTCCCATTTTGTCATTTTCTTTTTTCTTTTTTGCTTAAGACCCATTTTATTCCAACCACCAGTGTCATGCCAGTATTAACACTTTGCAGAATATAATGAATTCATTTTACATGATTTAGACTTGGATTCCTGAACTTGATCCAAATATTCTTTTCTGTCTTACAGAAATTGCGCTTTCTCACATACATGTCCACCAATCTGCTTCAGATCAAACACAAGAAAGACACATTTTCTGAGCAGCATATGGAGTTAATTTACAATGTCCCCTTGCTTGTAAGTTCACTACTACAAATTAGGGTTAGTCTTTCAATTTAAAATTAAAGTTAACATTCAAAGTTACATATTTGATAAACATTATTTTTTAGCTTCTATGTGTGATAATGTCATCATGTGGTGGGTTTCGTCGTCAGAAACCTTTCCCGGATAAACCAAAGGACAGCGTTATATAGACCCTTCTGCCTTTCCTTCCGTTTATAATAAAAAGTTATGCCTTCTCCATCCGAGGTCTTGTTGCTGTGTCTTGTCACAGTTCATGACTCACCTCACACAGGAAATTTTAGACCATCTATACATCCTCTATCTTTAATGACAGCTCAGTTGTGCTGATGGCTTTGTAGTCATCTCTGCACAAATTGTGACACTGCTGATTTGCCCCTTTTAGAGAATGTTTGGACATTGGGACACAGGCACCTTAACCTCTCTGTTGTACACTCTGATCTCACTCTCATGGCTGGTCAGGAAATGTGCTGACAAAATGCTTCAACAATGTCTCTCTCTTTTCAGTATGTGCTAACACTGTTGTATGCTGGGAATTGTTGGGATATTGATCTTTAAACAAAATATATACTGTCTTTTAATTTTAAGCCTCCAGCATTCTATTTTGTTTATTGTTCAAATAAAGGATTGTGCAAAAAGCAGTTTACTAATGAGGTGTAGTCAGACTACTTGGCTTTCTGATAACACCTGCAGTCTTTACACTGTGGACTTGCCTACAGACAATGTGCACAATAAATCAAAACAATCCACAGTCTTATAGTCTACCCCATGCTGTTAAATGGTCTCTTGTTCTTGTAAGTCAACATAAACTATATGAAGTATTTGTACTATGTTATGGCTCCCCCTCCTGTGGTCCAGCTGGCTGCCTCGGTGTCCACAGTGCTTTCTTTAGGGCTGTGCTACAGGAGCTCGTCTCAAAGAGAAAATTAAACATTTGTACACCCGGTGATAGGCCTCCTATACTCAAGTGTCTCCTTCTGCCATGCTTTAGGGTTGTGGGTGTATATACGTGTGCATTAGCCTGCTCCCCACAGGCCTTTTTAAGGCTTCAAGGGGTTTGTTGAAACAGCGGACATTTTGTAACACAAGGCAGTAATTGTAATGGTCATAGCATCCACCAGGGCATACAATAGGAGCAACCACCCACACAATGAGGCTACTGCTGCATGCTACAGTTTTATATTATGATCCTGTTGTTGGGCCCTTTTAGTTAAAGTATCATGGGTAAAAATTTTCTGTGTAGATAACTAACCCAAAATTGAGCATTGGGGTCAAACCACGCAGTGGCAGAGGAGAACAGTGTGTCCCAAACAGCTCAACCTGAGCCATATCTTAGTACACAGTATTTAAACCTGGGACTTGATCAAAGCTGGTGTTAAGGCCCAAACCAGTGAATTGGGGTCATCTAAAGGAAACAACGATGAAGTGCCCTATAGTAGCTATATAAGGCCTTCACAGTCGCCAGATGTCAGACCAACTGAACTTCTGGAATAATTTTGAACAATGTGTTAAAGGAAAGATGACCCCTTAAGACTCTTTAAGTAGCTTTTTCCTTTGTTTCCTTTCAGGCTGTCACCAGTTGCCTTTCTATCTCTGCTTCATCCCACAAATTTACCAAATCTGGCTTTTCTGACTGCAGCAACTGGTGAAAGTGACATGTTACAAAGCACAAAAGCTATAGTCTTCAAAGTTGTACATCATTCTCGCCTTTTATACTTCTCACTGAACTAATCTGGATCTGGCCTTCTACCATCTCTGTGAATCATTTTTATGCATTTCCTTTTCCATTCCACTCCACCACCTACTTTGTTTTTCTAATCACTTTTATCCTCTGCATCGCATTTTGTGTCTCTTTTTTCAGCAGCACTGCAGTTTCCAAGGAGAGTAAACATTTTGGCAACATCAAAGACTTCCACAAGTCCCTGTCAAAATCAACCACCTCTCTGTTTTAGTGTATGCAGATCATGTCAGCTGTGTGTGTATGTGTGTGTGTGTGTGTGTTTGTTTGATGGTGGTTCTTGAACTTTACAAAAAGAAAAACTAGGTCCCACCTGCTAAATGTTATGCCAAAATGGTAATAATTGGCACTTAGTATTTGTGGATGGTCACAAAGGGGAAAATGTTGGGGAAACATGGGGAACAATTTAAAAAAAATTATGGCCACCGAACAAATAAGCACAAACTACTTAGCAAATGGTGTAAGGAAGAAGGTGCACCCTTAAAGGACTCGCTTCAGATTATGGAAAATGTAAATCATGCAGAGGTAAATGCTTCAGAGATTCAGAAACCAAACCGTCAGTACAGAAATGAGTATTTGAGTTATTGACAAACTAAGATGGCTGTACTGAGGTGATCATCTACACAGGATGTTAACCATGTAAAGCTCATGTCCTAAACATGACCCAAACCAGGATAAGACTTCATGCCAGTGTGCACATACAGAACTTTGTGAGGAGTAAAGTCATTTTTCTCATCCATTTGCTACATGTGGGTGGGTTTGTGTTTGGGGTAATCAATTTATAAATGTATCTGCAACAAACAAAGGATGTTTGCATTGTTGCAATTGTCTACCAGGTGGGTGTTGGTTCTAAATTACATCTGAGGGAGACGGCACACTTGCCCAGTGATGTTCTCGTTGTTGGGCGGTTTGCATTAGTCATTCAGGCGAATGTCAGTGCCATTCACTAAATCTAAATGTCACCATTTAAACAATCTTGAAGGCTTTATTATAAAAATTTCTATTTAATATTTTGGAATGCACACTGTCAAAACAAATCTTTTGAATAATTTAAACAATCATCTAATATCAGAAAAACCAAATGCTTGAAACAAGGCCCTTTTTAGTTTTAGAAGTTTGCAGCCAGTTTGGTAACTCCTTGAGGTCATCCTGTTAGCTGGATCGTTGACTTCAGTTTATGTCTCAAATGTCATTTTCTGTGAACATGTCGGCACAGACCAAAGCCACCCTCTCTAGCAGGTCACGCAAGAAAGAAAACGGATCCATGATGGGCCAGATCTATTTGGAGTGAGTATATTCTATTTGAGCGTTCACTTTGCTGGAGTTTCTTCTGAGTGGCTGTGTTCTTGTAAATATCTGAAATAAGTGCAGTAAAACAAACTCCCTGGTTCACAACAGCCCTTTGCAGAGTCCGTAAGGTGTTGGTACAGTGGCACCTGCTTTCAGAGCGGGACAGTTTCCCTGGGTCCTATATGCTATAAGTAACTAATGGCTCAATTATGAATCATCTGTCAGTGCTTTACAATTCAGTTGCCATTGAGAAGGACCACCTTTGGGTCATCAGAGTGTAAAAACTCCCTTTATTTAGGTTTTTGATGACTTATTTCTAGAAAAGGGCTGCAGGTGACCAGACTTAGAGCTGCAGACTTGACAATTATGACCCCTTATTGATGACTTGTTAACTTTATGTGCAACTGGCGAAGGTGGCATTGAGCAGAAAATCCAACTACAAGCTTCAAAATAATCCTTTAATAAAACAGTGGGTGAGACCAGAGGCTGGTGTTACTGATGTAAAGTACACTAGACATTGGTCAGTTTCAGGGTATATTTTGTAAAGAGTTGTTTCATTTTGTGATGAGGTTCATCAGGACTGCCATTTCTAAGCGAAGTAAGCATTATGGCAATCAGTTTCAGGGACCCCTTGTCACCAGTTGCAGGGTAGTGTATGGAGAACAGGTCTGCTGTGTGTGTGTGTGTGGTGGATGGTGATTCGTCTTGACAAACAGAGAAAATCAAGGACCCACCTGCTAAAGATTACATTATGTCAAAAAGGAAACAAGATGGTTGAGTTGTGTAATCCTTCTGTTTTCTTCAAGATTAATGCCGACTTGTGAGTTTCCAGCATCCCTTTGGCCTGGTATCAGGGGTGATACAGCCAAGTAAGGAACAACAATTCTTAGAAGAAAACACTCATTACTGGACATTTGAATGTGGCCATTGAAAACATACAACTCTGAGATGCATGATTACTAATGTTTGTCACAAGGTACCACTCCAGACAGACCATGAGAGTAGGCTAGCTACAAAAAAACAAGGGGTGGGGGAAGGGGGACCGCTGGATGTCTTGGTTTGATCACAAAGAGAACAACAATATGCACAGAAGACTTTATTATGTTTTTCATGTAATGATTTATTAACTGAAATAAGACTTGATCACATGTTAGAAAGCAGAAACCCATAAGCACTGAATGACGGACTACCGACTTTAGAGCAAAGGGAAAGGATGGTTTCACACTCTGGCAACCCAGAATTATTTATGACTTAACTCTTTGTTTTATTAACATCAATTAAGTCATTAGTTTTAACTCACCTGCTAAGCATAAATGGTACCTTTTATTAAAAGGGATTTTATTTTTTGGTAATGTTTGACGCGTGTCAGTAGCTGGCTGTGAAGATGCAACCTGGGTAATAACTCAACCCGACGTGATTCAGAGATGCTGAACTGACTGCCTGCTGCTGACTTGACAGCCCGTTGATTTACAATATTTATAGTCTTCCTCCCGCCATTAGGCTTCTCGTCACTGTGCGCAGACTGTGCGCGCTGTTTGCCAAGAACATAACCTACTTCAGGGAGGCTGGAGACTGGGGGAGTGAGGAGAGCCAAGTCATTTTTTCCTCTGGTCCTGAGGGGTCTCCTTCTCTATATAAGGCACTCTGAGCTGCTCAGGAGTCACACAGTTCCTATGTGCTTCAGGAACATCGCCAGCAAGAGACGGCTTGTTCTCACAAGGGAATAATACAGCTCTCCAGCGCGCGGAAGACGCTGCTCCGAAATATTCAGGCGACTGGATACTAAGTGAAAAAGACCGAGGTGAGCAAGATAAGACGCCACACGCAAGTATTTGTAACTTACTGTGTGGTTTTCGGGTACGCTGTGGCACAGCATTCGGGAATTTCACCTGGATTTTATAATGCGCGCCACCCTGCAAAGAGAAAATCACGAATATAGCTGACCTACCGACTGTTTGTGTTTGATTTTTTCAGATTTACTGCTTTACTTAGTGTGACGTTTGGACTAACTTATGTTTCAGTTGCTAGATTTTATGTTATCAATAAAATAAAAAGGCCACACTTCACTGAAAACTATCAGTTTTACAGGTCTGGAGACAAACTACTGGAGAACAGGCAAACTGGCCTGGTGACAAAGCTTTAAAGGGCTCCTTGGCAGGAGAACCTGAGCATGCATCTATGAAAATGTATTTAAATCAGACATAAATTGTGTTTACATTAGCCTCATGGTGAGGCAGAGAGGAGGTTAGTCTCTTCAGAAACCCACCAGGAGCAGAGAAGACTCAGTTCACAGATGTGGATATGCACGTGCCCAACTCCTCGGTCTGTCACTCTGGTATAACATTCATGAGAGTCATGAGAAGGGTCCAGACATAGAAGTTGGTAGAGGTTCACTGTGAAAAGTGGGCACAGCAGGAGGAGAAGGGTGTGGTGTTTGGGCTGCCCGGCTCACAGTGCCCAGAGCTGGCACCTTGTGTTGACACAAAGCTGGTGCCAGACCTCAAGTCATCTTTTCAGCCAGTGGGAAAGATGTGAAGGGATTCAAAGATAGGACAACCAGCTTGGTTTAGTTATGGTTTTCTACTCTGATCACACTCACCAGCTCATCTCTCTCTATAGAAGTTTGTGATTTTGTAGCATTTGTTTAGCTTTAATCTTCCCTTCTGCCTGTTTCCTACTGAGGGAGTTCACATGCAGGGTCACTCACAAAATATTGGCCCTGGATGTGGCAGGAATGTAGTGTTTTGCTCAAAGGCAGTTCAGCAAGGTGAAAGCTTATCACCCTCAGTGTCCCACCCTGCTGCTCAATTTAATTAGAAAATAGTCTCAGAAAGTCCGGAGGCCAGGATGAAAAGGCAGATAGCATATCTAAGTAAAACCACAACACAACAAGTCCAGAGAAAAACCAGTGTTAATGTTACTGATAAAGCTATTTAATTACTGGGAAGAAAGGCTCTTTAAACTAAAATTGTGCAATAAGTCAGTGAGGATTAAATGAAATTCATCTTTATCTGATTGCTCAAGTTCATTTGGACAAACCTGGTTTTAGATATAGAAGTTAGCTGGTTGGTTAATTGTGGTGCAGTTCAAGTTGTTTTTGTGTTTATAAAATTACTGAAGCTGTTCAGATGACCAACAGATAGAAATTGGGCTTGGTAAATATAGTGTCACCAACACAATCGTATGTCATATGTTGCACAAAATAAATATGATTATCATATTTGATGATCTGTGTGTGTGTGTATGTAGAGCTTTGTCTACTTCATTCCCATATCAATATTTGATCCCATCTTTGTATGAAAAGCAAGCAGAAGATGACAGCAATGGATGGGAAGTGCCGTAGGCAATATTTTGTCATACTTTGTAAACCTGCACGTTTTTGTCATATTTTGTAATCTGTACTAATTTCTTGGCTCACACAGTGAAGAAAGTCCTCCTCCAGTGGTTGCGTCTGAGACTCACACAAAATCCACGGTCTGCTGCAGCCTGAAAGCCCAGATGTCAGAATGACCTTCGCTGCCATGACCTGGCTTCCCATCCTGTCCGCCCTGCTGCTGTGCGCCAGTGACTCAGCTTCTCTCTTCCTGCCTCACTCCCAGGAGCTTAGACAGCTGCTGAGTCGCTATGTGGAAGAAGTAGACCAGACCAGCACCAGTAACACAGCTGGCAACAGGACCCGACGAGCCATCCTCTGGTCGGACCGTGAGGAGATCCTCCAGTTGCACAACACGCTGAGGGGCAGTGTTTATCCTACTGCCTCAAATATGGAGTACATGGTGAGATCTGTCCCGTTAGCCTAATTACCTATTTAGCAACGTGTCTGTGCAGATTCTCAGTCATTTTTCAGCTACCTATTTAGCTAAGATTCTTAATCAGTGAAGATAATTACAGTTAGCAACTTCAGTCTTTGACCTTACCTCACTAAGAACTTGATTTTAATGTGTCAGCAACACTGATTTCTGAAATGAGGCAATTGGGTAATTAGGGGTTTGAGGTTTTATTTTGTCTAGGAAAGTGGCGTTGCTGTAATAAAAACAACGTTTTCCTCTCTGCTGGAAACATGCAGTCATGGTGGTGAGCTATTGCCAGCTGCCTGCGCTGCTCGTTTACATGGAGGAAAATAATGCTGACTCTGTGCTACCTGCAAACAAGACAGGAGAGTGACAGAGGGCCGGGTCAGAGGAGGACAGAGAGAATAAGACTAGAAAGGAAAAATGATGGGACGATGTGGAACATCAGTGGGTAAAAACAGGAGGGGGATTATTGTTGGGACACACAGAAGGTTTCTGAAAACCACAAGCTGAGAGAAGCAGTGGTGACTTATGTGTCTCTGAAGTGTGGTTATAGCTGGGGAGAAAAGTGTCTGTAGATTGACTCTACCCAGCACTCCCTCTTGCATTCCAGGGAACAGGCAGTGTGTGTGTGTTTGTGTTAGTGTATGGATGTTTGGGGTTACAGCGGTGTCGGTGTGTGCATGTTTTAGCGACCACCAAAAGGCTGGAAATTTACTAAGGAGATGTACTTTGAGGAGCCATGCTGTATGCAGGCCTTCACAGTTAGTCAGGTGTCTTCTCTGCTTTCCATCCTCCCCTCCATTGCTGTAGAGAAACCCACTCTGGAAATGTGGATAATTCAGCTGTGATTGCTGGAGATTTGTAGTGGATCACGGCCAGGCGCCAGCTGCTCCACTCAAATGTCACTGTCTAAGGTTGATGTTGCACTTGCATCCAGCTCAGTTTCAACACACTGGAAAGGAAGTGAAGGACAAGGCGCCTTGAACAGGTTGTGTTTGGGTGGCTAGTGAGTCAGAACGAGATGTGGAATATACTGCTTCATACAGAACTGGAGCAGGTACAGCAGGTCTTCACAGCTGGTGTCTTTAACTAAATGAGATCCTTGTGAGACATTTATTTTACTTAATGTGTGCAGGTTTGGGATGATGAGTTGGAGCGATCTGCCTCTCACTGGGCAGAGCAGTGTCACTGGGACCACGGACCTCAAGACCTGCTCGTATCTATTGGACAGAACCTGGGTGTTCACTGGGGCAGGTGAGATGCAATAACACACTTACTGGTCAGTAGTCAGCAACCTATATGTGCTATATTTGCTTTGTTTTGTTTTGTTATTCTAGTGCTGATCCAATACCCGAGTTTTCAATATCAAAATAATATTTTTTGATGCCTTACTTTAGGCAATAAAAACTAGTTTTTCTTATTGGAGCCACTTTCTGACAAGACAACATTTAGAAATGGTTTGTAAACTGTCACAAATAAATGTATTATTGATTAATAAATTACTAAAATGTTATAGATCAGTTAGCAGACATTTATAAGTACTCAGTCCATTTTTGATTTGATATTTATATGGTTATAAATGTTGGAAATCCTTTATAAAATGCTTAATAGGTCAGTTAATAGTGTCTGGTCCACATCCACTGTAGAACTTTGCAGGAAGTGATATGAAGATGAGAAGTCATGCTTGCAGCATCAGTCTGCTGGTTTGCTGCTCGGTCGGTCGGTCCACCAGTTTGGTTCAGACTGAAGTACCCGGCAGCTATTAGTTGGATTGGATTGAAATTCTGTACAGACATCCGTGGTCCCCAGAGGATGGATCCTAATGGCTTTGTTCATCCCCTGACTTTAACTTTTCTTGCACCACCATAAGATTTGTGATTTGAGTGAAATATCTCCACTGCTATTGGATGGATAGCCATGGAATCCAGATATACTAGGATAAAACTTCAGGTCCCCTTCAGTATGAGTGTAGTGACCCCTTGACATTATTCTGGCGCCATCATTAGGTGAAATTTTATGCTCTCGGTAACAATTTATGTAACTGATATAAAGCATTATTAAATGATTTCTCAACATTAACTAATCACTTTTGAAAGCTTTAATAAGGATGAAACAACTATTGTAGCAGTATAAGCAAACGACTGTAAATCTCATCTGATTTTGGATGGCAGGTTTTTGTACTTGGTAGTTTGTGGTACTCGAAGATATGTGCAATTTTTGGTTGGTACCAAAAACAAATTGAGCTTTGCTACCCAGACCTAAGCAGCTCGAACAGCAGTTAAGAGATATTCTGTCACCTAATCAGCAGGTCATTTGAAATTTGTGTACTTTTACTCTGATATTAACACAAGTATTCTCTGATTTCTCATTGCTGCAAGAGAAAGTTGTTTCATGTATACTACAATAACTCACAGCTGGAGTTTGGTCTGATCTGGTTCTGTAATAATAAATCTTGGTCCACTGATGTGTGTGAAGCACAGAAATGGGTAGTACAGTGTGTGTGTGAATGAATGTGTGTGTCCAAGTAGAGACAGACACAATAGACCTCTGTGCATAACAGTGTATGCTATCGCAGCAGGTGCCCTTCCAGGAATCTGCTCTCATTTTCATCGCCCCTTTGCTCCCTCCCTATTCCTTCCTTTGTTCCTGTGCCAGTAAACTCTGATTTGGCGTCCTTTTATTCCACTCCCCCTCTACACTCCATTTCTAAGCTTAGCACTTTTCAATACCTTAAAAAGAGATGTTTATAATAAGAGCTAGAACTGATTTGTTAGGCTATGGAGCAGTGTTTAGATTTGCACCTATTCTTTTTTTTTTTTTGTCAAACTGATTTGGTTTCACGTGTTGTCCAGTGGAACAGACTGCTGTTCTTCGTGCCAGGTCAAATTCAGACTCATCTTCTGATGCCTGCAGAGAGGAGGAGGAGCAGGGAGGTTCATGCAGTGTTTCTCAAGTCTAGCCAAAGCGCCTGGCAGCGCCCTCAGATGCTTCCCTTTTTGCCCCTGGTACTGTACCTAGATGGCATGTGATTGAGCTTACTGTGTGTATGTATGTGTGCATGCATTGGCCCTACAGACCCCGCACTCCTGCCTCCCACATCCGGGCCTGGTACAATGAGGAGAAAGACTACACCTATCCCTACCCTCATGAGTGTCGGCCCTGGTGTCCAGACCGCTGCTCTGGGCCCATGTGCACTCATTATACCCAGGTGAGACGGTTCAAGAGGAACTTTTCAGGCAGACAAACATTAGGTTAATGGTCAAATCCACTGACACATCAGCACTTTCTTGACTTAAGAGGGAGCTCTGTGAAGTCTGATAAATTGCCTCAGGTGATGTCACCTGGGTCAGTGTCAGGAAAAAAAAATCTGAGGATTGTAGAGTTAAAACGATGTGAGCTAATTTTGTATTGTGGGTAATGTAGGCACAAGGTTTGACCAGGAAGAAAAATACATGGAGTAAAAGTGATGATTTGTATGATTCTGCTTCATCGAATTTGATGCTTTTTTTAAAACTGTCATGAGTGCAGTGGTTTTTTAGGAGTGCAATGCTAAACTGGAGGAGTGCACTTTTAAAGAGGCATTTGGCAGTAAGTTAAAAGTTTCCTCTTAACCTGTTACTGCAAGAAACTGAAATGTTTGGCATGCAGTTTAGAAAGTGTCACTTTATAAATGGATGGATTTTATTTTTCAATTCCCTTTTGAACCATCGACTGTATTTTATTTATTGTCTAGTCTGTTTTGTATCAACTCATGCGCCTTATTTTATCTGTGGTATGAAACATGCATCACTTGACAGGTCTTTCTAAACAGTGTCAGAATACAACTTGTGGTGTGCACTCTGTATATCTCACAGATTTATGGGCAGAGTTGTGGGGGGACTGAGGGGATAAATGCCAGGCATGCATATATTAACTTCTAGTAGTAGAAAACAACCACAATGTCAGAAGGATAACAAGACAATTTGATGAAAGTAATGGAACAGAGGAGAGTGCAGGTACAGAAAGAAAATGAAAAATCAAAAGAAACGATGGTGACAGCCTCTCCTTCTCCTAGACTTTACTTTGTAGCTTCTGGGATGAGTTTACAGACACATCCAGGCTCCTCCCTCTGCCTTCACCCTGAAACCTGATGACTGCCATCTGGTAGTCATTTCCAGACACACCAGACATCTCTGCTTGACCTGGATGCTGCACATGGATGGAGACAAATATGAGCTCTTTCACCTGGTCTGTCTTTCATTTGCTGGAAAGTTTTGTGCATCTGTGTCAGTCATACGCCATTAGTCCCTCCACAGAGAAGTGGTAGAGACTCTGGAGTTAGACACCGCATTGTGCTGAGCTACCCACACTCAGCACACATAAGTCTTTCTGCTGACTCACTGCTTCCAGTGGCCTGAACATTCCTGAGGAGGGAGATTGCACGTGTTTGAGAGTTTTGGAGGATAGTGGGGAACATGCTGTATTATATTCAAATGGCTGATCATTCATTCGTGACACCGCTGCAGCAACTTGCCATTTAATGAGGCAGTTTATTCTTGTAGCTGCTTTTCCAGAGTTGAAATCTTAGAAACTGCACATTTTTCCTCTTCTAACTGGATGATGAAAGTGATCATCGTTATGTCACAGGGGATGAAGTAAGGTCATGCATGACGCTTATCTGACTGGGGCAGAATAACAAGTCAGGCACTTGTGAAAGTCCCAGTGGCCCCATTAATTGTGATTGTCAGTCTAGTTGCTTCCTCTGGAAAGACCTATTGAACCATGAGCTGTGAGAAAAGTGAGGCAGGAAATTCATGCTATAAGATCAATGGTTTATTCTATTATGTGTATGTTCTTTCAGCAATTGTTTGCGCTAACCTTTGCCATTCTTCTGTTTCCTTTTTTACAGATTGTCTGGGCAACCACCAACCGAATGGGCTGTGCAGTGCATGTGTGTCCAGCCATGAATGTGTGGGGAGAAATATGGGAGAATGCTGTTTACCTTGTGTGCAACTATTCCCCAAAGTAAAATTACTATTCCTCCATGTTCCACTGTTCATCAGCACCTCTGCTCTCTTGACTTTTGTTTACATTCTTCCTCCTTACAGGGCTGACAAATGGTAGTGAGTGTTAATATAGCTGTACTGCAGATCTGTAGCACTAGTAGCCCGAAACATACGCTGTACATAACGGGGCCATTAAACGTCCTCCAGATGTCAAAATAGAAGAATAATAGTGAAGCATGGAGAAAGAAAAATAAGAGCAGAGCAAGTGTTTGTTTTCCAGACAGCCCACAGGATGTAATTGCCTGAGAGATAATGAGGAGTGCTTTTATTAGTTTGTGGGACTGATGACTATTGGGAGTGTAGACTGTGGGCACAGAGAGCCAAAGTAATTACAAGACCATGAACACAGTGATGCTGAACTAGTGATTAATTACCACCTTAGTCAAACTGTCCATTGTGCTCTACGTCTGCAGGGGCAACTGGATTGGGGAGGCGCCATACCAGCATGGACACCCTTGTTCCCAGTGCCCTCCCAGTTATGGAGGAGTATGCAGGAATAACCTGTGCTACAAAGGTGACAAAGACCACAGGTTTTCATTCAAAGATGTTAAAAAATTAGGTGTACCACCAATCTGAGCCCTTGTCTGTCTGTCCATCTATAGATTTTCAGCGCTCAGAGACAGAGGACATGAACGAGGTGGAGAAGCCTCAGGTTCCACAGCCACCTCGTACCACCTCTAAACCAGTGTCCAGGTCCTCTACTCCTAAGGCAATCGCACCAAGGGCTTCCAGCAGCACCTACTTAGGTAGCTACAGAGATTAAACAAAGTAACCCCAAACTTCCAGGTTTGTGTGCATCCCTTCACTTATTTTTTTGTCTCTTTTTCCTCACAGCTCAAAACATTAAGTGTGAGACTAGACTGCGAGAAAGGTGCAGAGGAGCCACCTGCAACAGGTTTGGTTATTTTAAAGAATTTTAATTTAAACATACTGTATGTTTTGTTATATTCTATATACTGTGTTAGTTCCCATTTACCATATTACAGTGCCATCTCACTGGTTTCAAACTTACTGTATATTCCGATTACAGATATAATTGCCCTGCTGATTGCCTGAATAAGAAAGGCAAAGTCTGGGGAAATCTCTTCTACGATGTGGTGAGTTTGTCCAGCATAAAACAAACCCCGTAATTCACCAGTTCCTCCTGTAAATGTAGTTATAAAGCTTATTTTTTATTGTGGCAGCAATCAAGTATTTGCCGAGCTGCTATTCATTTTGGTGCGATTGACAACTACGGAGGTTTGGTCGACATCACAAGAAAGGACAAGTATCCATTTTTCATCAGAGCCACAAAGCATGGCATCGAGTCTTTCAGGTATAAACCTCTGCTCAGCCCACTTTTCCCAAATAAGTCCAATTATTGATGCAGCATGTATGAAACATGTTTTCCTGCTTCTATGATTCACATTTTGTGCAATAATGGACTTTTTCTTCTGAGGAACTACCTGTTTTCCTGATTTCATTATGATGTCTCTTACAGTAAATTTAAACCTGGCAATGCCTTTGTGGTGGCCAAAGTGGAAGGTACGTGAATCACTTTTCTCAGGAAGAGCTCTGGGTCATACATTCAGTTCATTAAGGGATTTTCCCTTCTTCCTCTCTCACAGAAATGACTGCTGACTGCTACTCCACCGTGGCTGAAATCTGCCCTTTCAAAAATCCCAACTCACATTGCCCAAGGTGCCTTCTCACATCCACCATCTTGTCATTCACCAAAGCATAAAATAGCCAATTGAAGGTTTTGCTTTTTAGTATTGTTATATCAGTTGTAAAGCGTTCAGTAATATTACTATAATTTACACATTTTGCTACATTTATATATCTGTGCATCCAGAAAAGAAACATTCTTAGGTAACAATTTACCCCCTATCCCCACCCTGTCTAGCATTTATAAGCAATGTACAAACATTTAATGCTTAGAAATGTTGAGTAGGAGGTGTTAAAGTAAGGTGTTACCTCCCCTTGACAAAAAGTTTTTCCAGTAATATGACCTTTTATCTGTTGCTGCAAATTAATAGTAACATGAAATGTATTTGTCAGAATCTTTTGTCCAGAAAACTGTAGGACTCAGCCTTCTTATTGGTCACCGGTGATTGGGAACAATGTCTACGCAGATGTAAGTAATCCAAGTTTCCATGTGTATGCTCTGAATGAGTTTTGCAGGTTCATCATGAAGGCCCTTCAGTTCTGTGCTGTTTTTTATTTATTTATTTATGTTACTAGCTTTGACAGAAAGGAAAAAAAGATATCAAGATCCTTATCTGCCTATGCTTTGTTTTGGCTTTGCAAATTTTTTTGTAGCTATGGAAAGCAAATAAATCACGGTAGAAATATGGCTCATGAAGAATGGGAGTAATGGTAAAATAAGCCAGAGAATGTCAGGGATGCATTACCCTGCATAGGATTTGATTATTCAAAGGATTACCCAAGTGTTACTGCAGACTAAGTGCTTGTGTCTCATAGGTAGGAGGCACAGAAAGAAGCAAATGTTTTGCAATCTCAGACACCCAGATGTGTTTTTACAGAAGCTGGATGGTAGTTAAACACGAGATAAACCATCTGGCTATAGTTGCTGAAGGGGCGTATGGATCTGTGTTTGGACTAGAACTGAATGATTCTGCTCCAGACTGTTAATAAAAGAGTTCTGGAGCCAGACTTCTGACTCAGTCTGTAAAACAAATGGTTGTGTTTGTCAATGTTTGTCTGTGAATTACTGCACAAGTATGTTGCACATTATTTAATAATACGGGGATTTCAAAGAAATTCATTTAGTGAAAAGGCTGTTTTCCATCTTGTAAAAGGTTTTCTCATCTTTGCCACACTTTGTCTTCAAAGAGCTCCAGTATTTGTAAAGCAGCCACCCATGCAGGGGTAATAAAAGCAGACGGCGGTTTTGTGGATGTTCTGCCACTGGACAAGAGAACACGTTATGTTGGAGCCCTGAAAAATGGCATCCAGTCCGAAAGGTACCATTCAGTTTTTTGTTTTTATACAATAGTTATGGTAATTATCTAAAGATGCTATCACAGGTACATCAGAGCAAGCCTGAATTCCAGGGGAACATATGTGTGTGTGTGTGTGTGTGTGTGTGTGTGTGTGTATGTATGTGTGTATATATATAAATATATATATATATAACAACTTCCATCATTCAAGCAACCATTTGTTTGGCAGCCTCCTTAGCTGTCGTGTAAGAGGTTACACTCACCAGAAACATGAGTAACAGCTCTCCCTTAATCTGCTTCAATGACCAAGTCCCAACAAGCTAGCTAGGTCCCCAGAGCTTTTCCAAGGTTGCATGTTGATCAGTGCAAGGAGCACGTGTAATCTCAGAGGAGTCAGATAAGTTTGATTTACAAAATTAAAAAATATAGGCCTACTTATTTGGTTTGGATTCTTGGGTAAATCCTCCATCCATGGAGCAAGGACTCGCAAAGGCCTTGCAAATCCTTGTAGCTGTCTTTACCTATTCTGGCTGATTAGCATTATGTTGTTGAAGAGTTTTATTTACTTGCAGTAATTTACAGCTGCATAATTCTCATTTGTCCTTATTGCCATTTTTGTGTTGCTATTTTTAACAAATGCAATTAGCTAGCAGAGCTACTAGCTACATAGGAAGACAGTCATTTCTTAAACCTGCCTATTATTCTCTGATAGGTTAGTTGCTTCTTTAGCTGCGTAAACTAGCTGTGAGTGTGACAGAACACCAAGCCTGTTTAAACTGGTGAAGAAATTCGAGATGTAGGGCAGCAAGTCTCAAAGGTCTGAAACCACACTAGGAGAAACCTCTCTTACAATGTTTTGTTCTGTGGTAAAGATTGGAAACTAAATCTTAAGGTTTAACTAAGTTCACATGCATATTGTGTAAGTCTGTTTTTAAAAAGAAAATATAATTAAAGACAACTGAAATTTAATGTCGGAGGTTGCACAATGAGTAGTGTGGTGATACAGATTCTTCACTCTTCCGTTGATCTTCAGCACTTAGCTCATGCTTTATCCTTTGACCAATGGGAGTATGATAAAGAAAACAAGGGGAAACAACTGAGGTAAATTTAACAAGACGATCTAATATATGCCCAAGGATGGTACTTTTATTTGTTATACCCAGCCTTGATTTATGTTACCTGCATGTAAGGGGTTCCTGCGTGCACACTGCTCTGTCAGCACCAGTGGACTAAGCTTAGCCAGGGAAACCCTTGTGGCCAGTTCTGCTGGCATATGAGGTTGTAAGAGTAATGTTGTGGTTTGATGTGTGCATGGGCCACACATGGGATCTTTGCTTATTTTACGCAGGCATTTCAATTGAGTGTGCAATGTGCTGAAGGGCCAAAAAGAATCCAAGTCTGATTATATGAAATCTAATGCAGAGCTGCATGTGAAGGCCCCACTCAGGGCATTGGGATAGGAGGTCAAACGGCTGTGAAAGCATCTGTGCCATGTGCCAACATCACGGCAGGGTGGGCAGTTTGGATTGGACTGTCAGTCGGGAAGTAATCACAGCCTATCCAATTACTGGAGAATGGAAATGCCGTCAGACACTCTGCTTTCTTATACCGACAATCATCTGTGATCTGATACTAGATGCACTGAACTGTCATAATTATTGATCATGGCAGAGCTTCAAGGTCTGTCCACTAATTAACTAATTACAAAGTTATCAAGTTTAACATATGTGAAAGCTGGAAAGGTTGGTCTCAGAAATATGGCAACAATGAATCATACAGCACCCCCAGTGTCCTTTGGTGGATGTTTCTGCCAAAGATGTGAACTGGAAATATTTTAAAGGGTTTGACTACAAAGCAAATTTAGTATCACAAAAATAGTGTGCAAAAAGATTACATCTGACTTTAGTATTAGTATTTATTAGACTTTGGGAGCATAAACCATACTAGAGATTAAAATTCAAGATATCTAGGCCTCTGCTGCTTCAGTTTGGACTTTTCATTTCTCACAATTCTTCAGGCTTTATGTGAGTAATACACCTCATTAACATAATTGTTAAACAGCAGTTGCATCTGTAGTAGTGGTTTCCAAACGTAACCTAATGTTTTTTTTATATTGTCTGTTTGCAGCAGCAGCAGCACAGAGGGAGGTTCCTTCCGAGTCTTTGCTGTGAGGGACTGAGACTTCAGTTGAGAAGTCCAAAGATCAACAGGTTGTATGTTGATCTTTCTATGTGTCCTCAGTGACAACTGATCATCCCAGCAGATTGATAGACATCTTCCCCTCTTTGTTGTAGCCACCAGTAAAAGTCATTGTCCAATACTTTGGTGGACCTTTATGGTTTCTCTCTCTTTAACTCCATATATGGATTTTGCTTAGACATACTTAATTTGTGAATATGGAATATTTTTCTATATTATGATGCATTGAACTGCTGGTGCTGGAGGTTTTGAGTTATTTTTACAGAAAGTATTATGTTTACAGGGAGGTTCTTATTATTACAAATATAAGTTGGTTTTCATACACAGGAATGTATACTGATCACACTGTATTTAACCATTGTGTACAGGATATAAGATATTTTGTTTGTTTTAAAAATGAAGTGCCATATATTAAGATTTTTATGTTCTATTCTGATTGCTCTATTGCCTTATTCTGTTAACCTGAATAATATTTGATTTTCTGGTCCTGGAAATTTAGACTATGAAACCAAATCTAAGTGTAAATTGCATTGATAAGTTAAATGGTGTGCACATTGAGGGAAGGGATGTTGTGTTGACTGGGTAGACCAGAACTAATCAAGCAGATACAAGAAGACGGGAAATGGCGCAGTAAATAAAAGTATATGCTGGCACCTGCCACTGCTGTTTCCCTTTAGAAGGTTAGTGTTGCTTCAGTGCCAGATATGTGAAGGTATTACATTGCTGTGTAGTATATGATAACTGATGGAGATGGGCCTCACAATGGTGGCAGGTTTGTTAATGTAGTCAGTGACTATCACAAACAGCAGATATGTTTATAATAAGCATTAATATGCTATTTTATATTTATTGCTGCTTGGTGCTTCCCTTGTTTCTTCATTGTTTTGGTTTCTGTAAGATATGAAATGGCTAAATTTGTCCCCTTCCCACCAGACAGATGAATGTGTGACATGTTTCGGATACAGAGAGAATTTTTGTGTGGAGACTAGGTGAAATAATTCTCTCCATAAAACTACAACTTTGGCACTAATTACACTGTGGCATGCAGTGCATGCAGGAGACACACATCTGTAATGTCTGTCAAGCCCTGTTGCCATTGATACAGCCCTGATTTTAATGCTTTCTTTCTCTGTACTCTTGTTTTGATTTCCATCAATCCATCCATCCATCACCTATACTGCTTATTTCTGGGTAGGGTCGCAGGGGGGGCTGGAGCCAATCCCAGCTGACTTTGGGGCGAGAGGCGGGGCCCACCCTGAACAGGTCTATCACAGTTGTCTGATTTAGGTCTCTAAAATATTTATTTTGTGTAACTTAAATGCACAGAAATAAAGACATGTTAGCATTGTTAGCATCCTTCATGAAAACTAAGACAAATGTCAAGTCCAGTTTGTGCTGCAGGTTGTTGAGACTATCTGAATGCCATTAAGCCCTGTTGCTCTACCCTTTGGTTTCCTTGAGAATACAAACATGATCCTGTTTTTCAGAGTAAAAGCCAAGACAAATAGACTTTGAAATGTTTTCCTTCGAACTTAATCTCTTTATTCTACCTCAGTCCTATCGCTATGCTAGGCATTTAGGTCATTTCTATATTGGAATTTTTATGGGTAATGCTAGAGGTTTTGTAAAATTATGGGAACTGTAAATACTATGATTATTGTTTTTGAATTAATCCTCTATACAGTAAGAGTATAATAAAAATGTGTGAATTGGTTGTATTGTTTTTATACCAATGTAGAATGGGTTCTATATTTTTTGGCACAATTTGAAAATAAAGTATCTCAAAAGCTGCAGTTCATGTTTTTGTTTCATTAAAAATATCTCCAGTGAGTACATGCTTCAGGTTGTTGAAAACAGAGCTGAGTTTTGGTTAGTTGTTCTTCATTTATGCTCGGCTAATTTATAGTATCTTGAGAAGGAGCTTCCCTGGCATGTTTTGTGTAGCATAAACAGACAAGCCAACAAAACATGACAACAAATGTTTTACTGTCGCCTCTGAGGTTGTGACTTCTTTGTCCATAAAAAGTCCTTTTGGAATTCACATCCAAAGAAACAAACAAGTAGCTATAAAGCTTACAAATGCATATCTGGATTATTGTACCTACAGCATAGTGAGTGACAAAACTGAAAAAGATGGATAGCTGCTGTAACAAGATGTCATAACTTTATTAAATGTACTCTGACCACAGCATCGGGCTTTATGAATGAGATATAAACCCAGGCCACCCAGGATTAATGTGTGATCTTTGGAAGAATATCACTGACCATGTTCCTAAACTGGTACTGCTTCTTACTGACACACACAGGCCAGTAGAGTTGGAACAATAAATTGAAACAATCATTTTTACTCAAAGACAACATAATCTGCCAACTGGGCTTTAGCTTGGCTTAGAATGATTTCAGAAGAAAGAAATTAACTTGGTGGATGTGGAAATTTCATGACCTTCCCATTCCCTTTTCACACTCCAAGCTAAAGTTGTATTTGTCACTTAACAGCAGCTTGTGACTAGCTCAAGGCCCTAAGGTGGCTTTATAAATGCCTAATTTACCTTAACCCTGAGAAAGAGGAAAGGACAATGATGGAGAGAGACCAGAAAACCCTTGTCTTATAGCCAGGGCTTTTATTAAAGGCAGATGTTCAGTTTTACTTGGACAGGGCCCTGGCCATCTTACTGATAAACAGCTGCAACTGGCTGCTGTGATGACTGTTTGTCAGTGGCAATAAGAATTTGCACTCCCCCTGTTAATCCGCTGAAAAGAACAAAATTTGGATGTAGAGGCTCCTGTCCCAACATGTTCTGTTTTGTGAACAGCTTTTATTTTAAACATTTTCAAAGATGACTATGGAGTTTATAATTATTGCAGGTTTATCACATGCATAATACATTAACTAATTTTGAAGAGATTAATAAACATCCAACCAACAATATTCTGAAACAAAGTACTGTAAATGGAAGTGAGTCATTAACCATTCCATGGTTCACTTCAACCATTGTACATATTACAGAAGATAGCGATAAGAGTTGTGCACAAGATGGGGTATAGGGATCACACAAATGTAGTTTTCATACAGTCTAAATTGTTAAAATTCTTTGATTTAGTGGGATATAAGACTGCTGTGTTTATGTATAAAGCCAGGAACGACTTATTACCTGGTGGAATCCAAAAGTTATTTGATGAAAGGGAAGGGGGATATAACTTAAGGGGTCAGTTAAATCTAAAAGTTCATGCTATACGTACAACCAAAAAAAGATTTTGTATTTCCATAAGTGGGGTCAAATTATGGAATAATTTAAGTGTGGATATGAAAAATAGTAATAGAATTGATGAGTTTAAATATAAATATAAATGTATGTGTCATACAAGATATATGCAAGAATAGGCTTTAAGGAAACACTCTGTTTTAATTTTATGTGTATTACTTGTTGGTGAAGAAGATAATTACCTATGTAGAGATACTGCTTGCAGCCAATGATGCATGAAATTTTTTGTATAATATGATGTTATGGGGTAGGACTGGATAAGTCTGACTTCTTCCTACTCCATTCAAACATGTAATAGGTGTAAGCAAACTGATTTTGGATTAGCATTGGTTGGATATGTGTAATTATGTGTGTGTTGCTGTCATTTGTTCTGTTCTGCATGTTTGAAAGAATCAATCAATCAATCAATCAATGCCCTACTATTTGACTTTTAGACCAGAAAAAGCCCACTCAGCTTCTGTGTTGTACCATTAAAAAGTGCAACACTACAGCTTTATGACAATCTGTGAAGAGCTGAGGAAAGTTCAAAGGGCGGGGATGTTAAACCGTTGCATCTGGCAGTGGAAGTTTGTTGAGCAACGGTTCTTAAGTATTTCTACAGCCTTTATTATCTAGGTGTAACTTCAGTTGTGAAGGGTCAAATTGCATGAAGTCAGCTTTGACTCATCCTTGCATAAATTGTAAAGCACCAGAGAAATGATCCAGTCCCTGAGTGATGTTGCTTCCATACTGTATCCTGATGTGCACTGCCTCTAAATATGTAAAAATGGAATTTGCATGTATCGGATGAAACCAAAGCAGCATGGCACTCGTAGGAAGTTTTATTTGGTTGTAAAGAGAGAACCACATGCTTGACTGCGCAAACTATTTTATTACCATAATTGAATATTGGGAAAGTGGGATGAGCCCTTATAGCAGACAGAACCTCCAAGAAGGATTGTGCTCTCTGCTGGACATGTAGTAAGTAGTAGAGTCCAAAGTATACTTTACAACTGTAATGATATTTTCCTGGTTAGAGGAAACGTTATAGCACAGCACATGGGTTTAAGAAAGCAGTTTGGGAAAGGGCCAGCTCATGTGGAGGAATTTTAGATTTAGAAAGACTGGATTAAAAGCTCTTCCAAAAGAGATGAATGGAGATGTGGCTGATGCTATTATGACAGGTTGTGTCTGGCTTGCTTGTTCATCATAGGAATGAAGCATGATTTACAAATGAAGAATAGAGACTTTGCCAAAGCCATCTATCTAAAGGGAGCATTTGGAAAGAATTTTGGAATTGATAGGAGGATTAGTTTCCCTAATTTGTCTCTGCCTTCTGACTAAAACTAAGAAAACATCACATAACTAACTTCATTTAACCCTGATCGTAAGGTTATAGTGCAGGTAAGGGTTCGTGTAGGTTCACAGTGTTTTGTACAGGGCCTTATATACTATATGCAGTATTTTTTATAATAATAAAATATTTCTTCAGTCAGGTAAAACTTAATGTTTGTTGTTTTTTTCATTGCTTTTCCAAGCCAAAAAATACAGAATTTTAAGTGACAACAGCTTGCAATGATATCGCCAAACCGCTCACCAAATTCAAGCAATGAGGCTCTTCTAAGTCATGTATCCTCATTGCTGTTTTATTTGGTTTGGTCTTTAACTTTTCTTAGCAAGAGAGACACCACAATGAATCCTTGGGTGTGTTCCCGCTGAACTCGGTTTGAATTCTGGCCCAGAAGAAGACAACTCCAACCTGGAGAACAAAAGTTGTTTGTCAGAGACATGATGAGGATTCTGCTGCTGGTGGTGTGCAGTTAACCAGTGTGGACTGGGACAGTTAAAGCCTCACTGCCCAGGTGGATCAGGTGGATTAGTTGGCTCCGAGTGTGAGTCTGAAATGATGAGACCTCAGTGATCTTGGTGGGGATGGCCACACAGATAATTTTTCCTTCTCCCCTTGTGACGCACTTCCATTCTGGGAAGAGTGCGCTGAAGAGGCAGAGCCCATTGATCAAATACAGTGTCAACAGTGCCTCACTCAGCAGTCAGTGTTTTGTGGTACAAACCATAATCCATGTTGTTTTCAAGCCAAACTTTGGTCCCTATTCAAGGACGAAGCTGTTTATATACAGTAATTGATAATAAGAAAAAGTCATCTTGATGTGTTTCACTGAGTGATGAGGTGAGTGTTGTCTCGCTTCAGCTGTAGCTTTTTACATTAAAGCTTTTTTTTACTTTAGCTTTCAACAGAAGACCCTTACTGAAGAATCTTTGGGCACACATAATGTTTACTGCAAGCTTTCATAGTTACATCACTGATGTTGGACCCAGTATTACTCTGAGGAATTGCTCACTTTTTTTTTGTATTTGATATTGTGCATGAACTGATTTTAAGGCCAGATTGGCAAAATTCAACTTTAATATTCAGTGTAAATGTTAATTAAGCAACTACTAGCTCTCTGATGCTGTACAGAGGCGCTTTATACCGCACCAAATACAGTATGTCAGCTTTCTATTTAAAATGAGACGATTCGCAGTGATTGCTGTGAATCATCCTCTGTGTACCGTTGATATCGCTACCAAATTTCAGGGTGATTCAGCCAATAGTTTTGAGCCATTTCACTGAAAACCAACAATGTCAATCTCACAATCTGTTAGTGTTGCTAAAATCCTTTGTGTTCTGCACATTAGTTTAAAATGGTAACAAGTATTTTACAGTATATACATTAACACCAAATTAGTAATGGGCAGTAGTAGCATTTTATGATTTTTTGACTTTTGCATCTTGTAGCTACAACTTATATTTTTATGTGGATTGAAAAAATGCATTATACTATTTGCAGTTCCTATTAATATATGTATATTCATTTATGAATATTATGTACAGAAACATACAAAACATATAAACGACCCCTGTAGAATTCTTTTCAAGCTTTCCTGTCACTAGAAGCGATTGTAACTTTTTTTTTCCCCGATTGCTGCTTTTTACAGTAGAGTCATAAATGATGAGGTTTAGTAAAGGACCTCATTCTGTCCTCTCCATGACTTTCATCAAAACATTAATCTAGTATCTGGCTAATGATCAGAAACCACCAAATCCTGTTACATAAACCTGTCCAAACACAGATAACATTGTTTTAGCCATCACAACAAAGAGCACACTCATTACCCAGTTTTGTTTTTCAGCATCACACGGTGGAGCCGATGCATAATTATGTTGGTAATGTTGATCATGGTTGGCTGCTTCTTTTCTCTACCTCCTCTGATGGTTCTTGCATTGCTTGATGAACATATGAATCCAGTGTTTGTCGCCACTTTGTTCTGAGTGGAGCGGTGACACAAGTGGAAAGTTAAGCTGAAGTATACAATGCTTGAGGCCCAGTGTTATTGTCTGTTTAAATAACTTTTTCCTTAAAAGGTTTGTGTTAGTACACAACCAGAGAACCACAGAAAAAAAAGAAGGGTTTGTTGACGTTTTTGTCTGTGACAGGCTGTGAGAGTTTTGATGACAGTGACCCTGGCCTTCTATGGGCTCTT